TTTCGTTGCAGTGACACAAGAACACCGACTCGATGAGTAGCAGGAGGATTAAAACAGAGAGGTTCAGAGGAAGTCATGTCCAAACTGTGAGACTCTGTGCACCCGAAATCCAGCCGTGCCATGAGCTTCTGTTTTGTGCGGGTGGAAAAAGTGTCTGTGTGATGCATCAGAGGGTTAGCTGAGGAGGTCAGGCTGCAGGCCAATACGCTGAAGGACGTCCTCGGGCATGCACAGCACCGGATTCACCGGTTTGATCTGTTCGTCTCCAAGCAGGGAGAGACCTGCAACCCCGAACAGGGTGTGGAAAGGATCCACCTGCAAAGGAGGATTAATAGGAATCAATAAGACTGATTATAGAGAAAATACTACAAAAGTGGGCCACAGAAGTGGACCAAAACACTTCACACTCAGTGTCTTTGAAACCACCTGCTTTACCTCACATGCAAAGACTTTTTTTCAGTCCAAAACATAAATATTCAAATTTAGATTCTTAAAATTCTTCTCACCATATCTCCTGGTCTATCGGCAAAACCTCCCGTCTCCTCGTCTTGACAGGCCAAAATAAACTTTCGCAGCTTGTCTTTGTCAATCCAGCGGATCCTGCCGATGATTTTCAGCGAAGCCAAAACCCACCACGAGTAGCACACATCTGGAAGCTGAATGATACCGAAAGTAAACCACAGCTGTTGCACGTATTTTCTGCCACATGCCGGTTCAGAATATGGAGGCAGCAGTCTGCAGAGACACTGAGAGCTCCCTCTACCCACTCCACCTCCTTCAGCTCCACTTTTCTTGGTAGGATATGTCTGAAACACCTCAACTAGGAGGCGTCAAGTCAGTCAGCCCAGTCAGTCTTAGTCAGATGCCTGACAACCTCAACTGCCTCCTTTTGATGTGGAGGAGTGGCTCTACTTTGAGGCCCAAAGAGGACAGAGAACCCAGCCACCCTTTGGAGGAAGCTGATCTCCTCCTTTCAGACACATTAATATTTTATTTAATCTTAAAAACTGTATTTATTACCAGGTAATCCAATAAATCATCAGCCTGTTCCATCTGCATTATTGCTTCTATAGCTCAAACTCTTCAACTGCGAAGGAGTCTGAACTTCAAACTATAAAACCAGATACTTTCAATAAGTAACTCAATACTTCACAGTGTTTGGCACAAACCTTCTCAGGTCGACCATTCAGGCCTCCAGACGGCAGCTGTCTCTCACACAGCCACCACCCCAGCAGGTCAGCGTTTAACTGGTGTAACTGGCCAGTGAGCGACAGGAAGCCAGTGCAGCAGTAAATCTGACAGACAGGAAGGAAAACACCGGAAATTGATTTAAATAACAACTGATCCTAAAGTGCCAAATTCACCACCATCCAGGTTGAACACGTCATCCTTACACTGCAACTGTCTTGGCCTCATTTATAAGTCAGCTTCATTCAACAAGACTGGTGTGCAGGAGCAAATCAGGCAGGAAGTGTTAACTTAACATATAATTCCTTTATTTTATTTTAGGTTGAAACTTGAAAGAGTTTTGCTGCTTTTGTTCAAAAAGATTAATTTACTGTCTGACAGCAATTCATTAAAAAATGAAATTGTTATGATTATTGAATCTATTGACAAATAATTGCAATTTTGCTCAATTCTATTTTCTATCAAATAGAAACAAAACACTTCTGAGAGTCTCCAAACTTTTCTGTGGGAGTAAATATCAGTATATCAGTGAACTCACCTGACCAGCATGAGACTCAGAACCAGGTCTGCATCCAAAGCCTCCATCAAAGTTCATACATGACAAAACAAACTCTACGGCTTTGTCAACATTGATCGTGTCCATCTTGCCCTGGGAAACAAAAAACATCTTAAAATGAAGTATAATGAGCTTAAATTAACAGTTTATTAAAACATGCTTGTTAAGACTTAAGAATGAAAGAGCTGTTGAGTCAACTGATGAACTTTGTGATATTGTGTAACTTTATTATTTATTTAGCCTCATTTTATGGACACAAAATAAAGTCCGATGCTCCCACATAACACTGCCGAGTTTCTAAAACAGGTTCAACTATAAAAAGTTTTAAGTTAAATAATAAATCATGTAAATAATAATTTACATGGAAAGACTAACATACATACCAGTAATGCGAGTGTAGCAACAGCGCAGAAGGAAAACCGTGTGTCTATTTCTCCTGCAAAGACAAAAAAAAATTAGAAAAATTGTTCTTAGCTTTATTTATTTCTTCCCTAACTTAGAAGCACATGTATTGTGGGATGTGAGAGTAAAACTCACTCACCCCACTTGTCCCCCGCAAAAGAGCCATCTTCCTGCTGCAGCCCTTTGACATATTCCACAACTTTGTCCACATCAATCGCATCTACGCTGTCATACAAGCACAAGATCTGAGGAAGAGAGTTCACAAAATACTAATAAACAAGAGAACATAAAATACACCATGTGCAGACCATTCAAGTTCCTTTACAGACCAGACACTATGGGACACAATTTGAGATGTTTATTTGAGCTAAATATAAGCAGCACTATGAAGAAAAATAAATAAACATCTAGAAGAATAAACACTAGAACTGCTAAAAAATTTTGCTAAAGAGGGGCCAATTCAGAAATATTAAAGCACGTATAAATATTTAAAAGTTCAGTGTATCATCTAGAATTAAAGCTGTAGAGAATACGAGAGTAATCTGCTACCTGGACGGCACTGAGGGTGTAGAGCAGGTGGGGGTCGTGTCCGATGCTGGCGCTGATGCCTCCACACTCGTGCTGACAAGCTTTGATGAAGTCTACGATCTCCTGCTGGTTCATTCTGGGTAGCTCCCCCATCAGGTCCATCACAGTCAGCCCCCAATAGATGCCGCTCATCCTCAAGTACTCAGACAGCGTGTACTCCTGACAAAACACCAAAGGTCAGCAGCGTTAATTCAAAAACATTGGCTGCTTTTTAGTGATTGCCCCTCTGAACTCCAAAGTCTACCACAGAAGCTCAACTGGATTGTTATCTGGAGGTTTTGAAGACCACCCATTCAGCGACCCCTTTGAGTCCCACACTTTCTCATCCCATTCAGTAACTCCTCATCTTCTTTGGGTAGGATCATTGTCGGCGGGATGACAACGACCACCCTTTTCTTGCAAGTGGCCAAGCCCTGAATAGAAACACAGATATCAAGGCTCTGATGAGGCCTGTACTCACATAGTCGTCCTTTTTGGAGCCGTAGGCAGCGATGTAGTCTGCGTGTTTCTCCAGCAGCAGCGTGCTGGGAGCGTCGGGCTTTATGATCACATCTTTCACCTGGGTCCCCTGAAATTCAACACACATCAACAACACGTCAGACAGCCTTAAAACTCAATAACCTGAAAAAAAAATCAAACTTGGCTTCTTCCTTTTCATAATCTAGCGCTGAGTTAACCCCTGTTTAGCAGATAAATGGCTGACTGTTAACATGATTCACGGCTTGTTGACAGGCTGCTACATGCTAACATCTTAGCCACTCTGCTAGCTGCTTTCACTGATTAGCTCGCTTGTGTGGGACTAAGTTTGGATAGACTAGAGGAAAGAGCACACTTACATAATATTTTATTGTAATGTTATCCTAAACTACACTCGTTATCACACTGGAAACAGGTCGCTAGTTACCATTCTGACATGATCCGGCGTTTTCCTTCTTCCTCTTCTACAACAATTCGGGCTGTTGGTTTGGAGCGCGTTATTGCCACCTATTGGTTTGGAAGGAGAACTGCAGCCTAAATCCTCATATTTGAAGTGATATTTGTTACTCGAATATATTTAAGCACAAATGTTCAGGTATCTTACTCGAGTCATTTATTTTTGCAGTGTTGGGGGGAAATTTCCCACTGCAATTATTTTTCCATAACCATCATGTGCAACTTCGAGCAAGGCACCACTGAAAACACTATGACCAGCTACATCACTGTGTGGTTTGGAAACTCCACCTGAATCACATAGTAAATGCAGCAGAAAAGATCACTGGTTGCTTCATTGCCCTCCCTCCTCGACAACTGTAACACCTGCCTAGCAGTCAGTATTGTGGTGACCTCCTCCATCAGACTGATACACAGCTTCAAAATATTGAACTCCTTCCTTCCTCAACTCACTCCCCACTCTGTCCCCCTAGAAGACTGGATTCTAACCAACCCACACATGAGCAATGTGTCTTACAACTAGCCTTTACATAAAGGACATTAGTGCTGCTGTTGTGTCTTGAAGACTATATGGCTGTTATCTACACAGATTACTTCAATTACAGAACTGAAAATGAAGCAGACTTTTTAAAGTTAAAGAAGTTGTTTTAATAAATATGAATATTTGACAGATTCCTAACAAGTGAAGCTTGCAATAAAAAGAAATAAAAAATAAAAAAAAACAACATGGTTGTGAATCCTCTGTCATTAGGTAATGAGCTTTCTCTCAGCACGTGGAGGACTCAGAAGAAATGAAATTTAGAAGAGACTCAAATTGCTTGTTTATTTAGCAAATGGGAGAAAGGAGAAGAAAGAAAAATAAATGTTTAGACTGAATGAAATAATTTATTCAGTGACAATTTTTGGACACAATTCTCTATGATGTGACAACGGTCTATCGTCAGCTCATCCACACGTGCCTTGTCTGCACAGGTAAGCCGTAAAGCTGACCCTTTACACTGGATATTCATTTGAAATCTGGAAGAGACAGCAGCTAAATGTAAAATCAAACTGTTTTCAGACAGCATGCAATTTTACACTCATCAGTATGTTTACACATTCTGGCAAGAAATTCATTTCTACATTTAAAACCTTTTGTTTTTAAAAAACAAGCAAAGATCAGTATGAGAGTCAGAACTGAGAGAAAAGGCTTAGAGTAAGGCATGAAGAAATTAATGACCATTTATCAAACTCCTGATGCAAAGAAGAGTGAATGTGATCAAACACCAAATCGCACTGTTCAAGTACTGCAGCAACAGAGTAAGGCTGAAGGTTAGAAAAAAGGACTAGGCTTGCACTAACTTTAGTCCCAACAGTTCTGGTTCATCAGTAGAAGCTTCACAGCACAACAGGCAATTGGTAGATCACACTATTAATGCTACACAATAGGCCCCCACCATCATCATTAACAGAAACTGTTCTGTGATCAGCACATAGCTGTGTCATATTCTGCGACTTGATGGATTGGTGTAACTTATGGCATCGTGAATTCTGAGGCAAAAGGAGGCTGATGAGTCTTGTTGATCTGGATCACTCTTGAAAACCGCAGTAGGATGAAGTGACATTAATGCAAAATTTTGATTGTTATCCTGAGTTCAAGTGGCCAAATAGAACAGAAACAAATACATTATGTATACCAAACATGAAAAGTAAGTTTAAATGATGATGAGCAGACTTCATTTCTTGGCTCTTCCCAGGTGTTCTCGGGCAATAATGAGCCTTTGGATCTGAGCTGTGCCCTCGTAGATCTACAAAAGAAATCAGATTAATTAAAGAAGATGAAGCTGAGATGGTGTAGTAGTGGATAGTTGCACATTATTGTCACCCACCTGGTAGATCTTTGCATCCCTCATGAGCTTCTCTACAGGGTACTCGCTATTGAAGCCGTTGCCTCCAAATATCTGAACAGCATCAGAGGCCACCTGATTGGCGATGTCCCCTGCGAAGGCCTTGGCGATGGAAGCGTAGTAGGTGTTTCTGCGGCCCTGGTCCACCTCCCAGGCAGCACGCTGGTACGCCATCCTAGCCAGCTCTACTTTCATCGCCATCTCAGCCAGGAGGAAGGACACAGCTTGGTGCTGCGAAACAAGAAAAGAAGCACGTTGATCTTTTCTTCATCTGAGTTTAAAACAAAAGCAGTCCAACTAAGGATACCCAGATTTTAAAGGACAAACAAAATGCTTGAACACACCTCAGCAATAACTTTGCCAAAGGTCTTCCTCTCCAGAGCGTAACTGGTGGCTTCGTCGAGTGCCCTCTGTGCCAGGCCGGTAGCTCCTGCTGCCACCTGCATTGGAGCAAATACATGAACAACCGTGCTCAGACAAATCTTCAGCTACAAGTTTAAACTTTTGTCCTTAAATCTGGTGATGTTGCATCGACTGTAGTCCTTGTTTAGTTTCCTGCTGATGTTTTACTACATTTCAAAGTTCCTGTTGTAACAGAGGCAGCTCATAAACTGAAACAAAGCCAGGGTTTTCTTTGGCATTTTGCCTATATAGGATAGAGACAGTGGACTGACAGGAAAGCGGGGAGAGAGGGGAAAACAGGCCGCAAAGGGCAGGAGGTCAGACTTTAACCTGGACCGCTGCTTTTCTGGCCATGTAATCACATGGTCAACCACTGAGCCAAACTGGCACCCAATTATCACCATTTAAATCATGGTTCATATTTGTTAGCACACGTTTGAAAATTTAAGAGCCCACACTAGTGCATCTTTGTACTGCTGAGTCACACTCAAACTACAAGCTCAGAGACAACTTTGATCAATATTAGACAGTGAAAATAATAAGATATTCTCCTTAGCTGTTAATTCTCCAGGAGCACAATATACATCCCTTAAACTGTAGCAAGTTAAATTAGATTCAAATGACGGGGAGGGGGAGGGGGGGGAAAATCCACTGCTTAACAACTTTAAAGACCAATAACTTCTGATTTTTGCACTCCAATTTCTAATCCTTTTATTTGCAGATATAATTTGATGCCAAAAGATGAATCATGTCTTTACTTCTTGTAAAGATGAAGCTATGCACAGTTGTTACAGATGTTAGGTTTTGTCACAGCTGGAAAACTTACTGGTGGCCTGGTCATGTCAAAGGCACCCATGGCAATTTTGAATCCAGATCCCTCTCCGATCAGGACATTCTCCTTCGGTATTCTCACATCCTCAAAGGTAATGCCCCTCGTGTCAGAACACCTCTGGCCCATGTTCATTTCCTACAGGCACAAAAACAAAATAAAATTTAAAATGGGATACATTTACAAACTGAACATTTTTCCTCCTTTTATTACATATAATTTTTAACAAACAACGCTATCATTTGCACTACTCAGTAAAGTAATTATCTGACATTACACGTCTAATGTTTAGAGAACAGAGCATCAAACTTCTGCAACATTTAAAATATGATTTGCTCACTGAAGAATGTGATTAATGTTTTAAAAGACTCTTTTTCAGCTCACCTTCCTTCCTATTTGAATTCCCGGAGTGTCTGCATCCACAATGAAGCCAGTAAAAGCCTTGCTGGCTGAACACTTGGGATCTGAGTTAGTGCGAGCAAGCAGGAAGTACCTAAAAGTATTAGAGACTAAATTACCAGACAGAAGTTGCTGTAGTAGTCAGATAGAAAAGTAGTGCAAATTTCAGCATTCAGAGTGGCCTTGAGGACGAATGCCCTTTAAAACTGATCACTACAACTTTGCAATACATCAGCAGCAACTGTGAGCACACACCAGTTAGCTTTCCCTCCGTTGGTGATCCACATCTTCTGCCCATTAACAACATACTCATCGCCCATTTTTACGGCTCGTGTTTTGATGCCAGCCACGTCAGATCCTGCCCCGGGCTCAGTGACACAGTACGCCTGCAGAAACCCACACAGGAGTTAAACTGAGAACAGCAGCACCGTCTTTCATTGCATGTTTGCTGCTGTCAGCACACAGTAGTAAAACACAGAGTTTATGGTCCTTTTTACAAGATAAATAAGGCATGACGGTATAACAAGAAGCACTCTGAACTGCCTTGTTGTTCAAAGTCTCCTACACAAACAAACTTTCCTTCATTTGTTACCATTTATTCTATAAAGGGTATTAATAAACAAACTTGAAAGTTAAAATGCTCTGTCATTGTGTTTGTTGTTGTTGGGTTGATTATTGACGTCACCTGCGCCCACCATATGTTAAGGTGGTGCTTTAAAAAGAGTCACAGCCACAGGTCGTAGAAACTGAAGCCACAGGCTGAAATGTGTTCGTTTCTGCTACCATATATTAAAGACATTTGTGATGTAACTGCCTGCCAGTGTCCTTCAAAGTTTTAGGTGGGTCATAGCGACTTAAAGATTACAAAAGTTCCTATAAAGAAGAACTTTCTGTGATAAAGCTCAAGAAGCGTCTACAGGAGGTGCTGGATTATACGCATGGAACATCAAACTGGCGATCCCAGTGGATGGAAAGGATGCACAGAGAGCACGAAAGGTAGGCAACCAGTCATCAGACGGGCTCTCCACTGAAGTAGTGATCCACTTTTTAGCAGAACGGTTTGCACCAAAAAAAGTCATCACAACAGAGTGGCAGGAGGTACAGATGGACACGCAAAGAGGACTTCAGGACATCCAGCATAAATCAACTTATCCAAACAGACAGTTAAGTAATCAGGTATTATCTTCTTTTTAAACCATCTTAAAAAAAAATAAAAATAAAAGTGTCAATATATTTACAAGCAACACTTAATTGCAATAACACCAAATTATTTCAATGAATGTAAAGACTCTGGACACCACTCCCTCTGTACAAACCATTTACCAAAAAAAGGAGAAAACAATTAGCGGATTACAATTAAGACATTAAAATCTAGGAAATTCTTTATTTGCACCAGAATCTAATGATCTAATGCCTCTGTACCAACTTTGTTGTTTAGTTGAAGAAGTTGGGTTATTTGTTTTTCCCAGAGAAACAAAATGTTCTTTTTAAAATTCTCGCTGCATGAAAGGCTCTAAAAGATCTCTCAGTTATGATTTGTCATTTGCTAATGTTGATAAAGGTCATCCAGTAGTGCTGCTAGATAAGCTCGTGAGTCCACTGAATATTACAGATTTCCACTGAGGTCTACGGAATTCCGTCCACAGAATTCCTCATTAAATTAGCAGAAACAGTTTAGTAAGAACTCTCCCTTACAGAAACAGGAAGTCTCACTGGGTAGCCTTTTCAGTCCCAATTATGGAAATTCATTCACGGAGAAGTTTGAGCCTGATCATCTGCTGCTTATCCAGGGCCAGGTCTCAGAGGCAGCAGCCCAAGCAGAAGAGCCCAGACCTCCCTCTCCCCAGCCACCTCCTCCAGCTCATTACACACCGAGGTGTGCCCAGGCCAGCCAAGAGACATAATCTCTGCCTCCTCCTGGTAGGACATGCCCAGAACGCCTTACCCAGGAGGCACCAAGAAGGAATCTCAATCAGATCCTCAAACCATATCAGCTTGCTCATTGTGCCATATGGCAACGGCACCTCTGCTCGGACTCCCTCCCAAATGACTGAACTTCTCACCCCATCACCAAGGAAGGGGCCAGCCAGTCCAGAGAAAACCACCACTTGCATCCACATCTTATTTTTTTGGTCACTACCCAGAGCTCATAGCCATAAGTGAGGTTAGTGATTTAGAGGGATAAATCAACAGCCTCCAGCTGACACTGCAGAGGCTCGCACCCAAGTGTGAAACAGCAAGAATGAGAATTAGCACCTCAAAATATGACGCCATCATTCTCCACAAGAAACACCTGAACTGAATGTTTGTAAGTACTTTAATTCTAGATGACAGTTTGGCACATTGACACTTAACTAAAATCAAGAGTAGCAACCATGACAGTTAAAGATCTAATATTTCCCTATCAAATATTACAGAGGAAAGAAATATTCCTTAAAATATATGAGGGCACTCTTATCTGTATGCATGTTCTGCAGTAGATGATTGAACTACTGCAGAACAAGCAATATCACTAGATGCTGCATTCTTCCAAATATCAAATCATGTCATCGTTTCCAATTAAATACTTACACACATGAGAGGCTCCTCAGTCAGCCGTCCCAGGTATTTCTTCTTCTGTGCATCACTGCCAGCAATAATGACAGGCATTTGCTGTGTGGGGGAAAACAGATACAGTTCATTCTAACAGAGCTACTCTTCTCCTCTGTGCTCAATATGCATGAAATAAACTTTGGGAAAACATCATTAGCCTTATTTTCTTAACATGAAATACTTTTGTACGTGTGAATCTAAACAGCTGGCT